CTTTCACTTGTGGAAGCAAGAAACTGCTGAAGTCATTGCTCTAATGTGTAGAGGATCACTAGGGGGTGTCTTTTGGGGAGACCTTTTTCAGCTTCCATTTTATTGAATGGAGTAAAACCTGAGGAGATTCCTCGGAAGATAGAGGTGCTAGTTGAAGGACAATGTTACTCAGTGTGGCTAGCTTCATCCGTTGAATCTGTGCTTTGGAAAGAGGCTCGTAGGGAGGGAGATGAGAAGGTTGAAGAAGAAGAACTGAGTGGCAAGAAAGGAGTGGATGATTCAAACGAGAAAAGCACTTTCACTAAAATGGAAAAACAAATGCTGGAGAAACAAAAAGGTAGCATTCAGGGGGTGGGTCTTATGCGTGTGGGTGGAAGCAGTCAACAGTCTGGAGGGTGGCAGGTCTTTTGCACAGGTTGTAACTGGCGCCAATCTGGCTTTCTTAAACAAGGAAAAGGGGTTGGTCAAGGGAAGAACTGAACCTAGACCTGATAAAACCAAACCGAGCCTGGGGTTGGACGTGTGACCCTTTTAAAAGTCACGTGAGGTCGCGGTTTATTAAGAATGGACCAAAGCCAAAGCCCATGTGGAATGATACTGTTGTTAATAAAGGCCCAAATGGGCCAGCGGGCCCGACCCAGTCATTTAAAAAGCCGCATGAGCCTTTAAAGAGTCATGTGACTGGGGTTATTACTAAGGTAGACGACAGAAACCGTCTATTGTCGTCTTCCTCAAGCTCTTCAACTTCTGAGAAGAGTTCTTCCCAGGCCGCTGTTTCGAAGATGCCTTCTCAGTCGGCTAGCTCTCTACAGTGGCGTCCAGTGAAAAGAGCTCAGCAACTTTCTCCTGATCGTCGTAATCTGCGCTTTGTCAAAAGCAGCAATCCAGAGAAATGTAACCTGAATCTCTCGTCTGATGAAGAGGATTGCTATGTTTCGGATTCTGAAACTGAGGATACTTTGAGCCTTGGCAGCACCGACCTCTCTCAAACAAAGGACCCCTTTGAAGATGACAGTCTAAACACTGAAGTGCTGTTCCTAGAGGAAGACGGTTGTGGCTCTTTGTTAGGATTTCAAGCGGCAGCTCCCTCCCCACCCCCCGCCAGGATGTACTTCACATAAGGTTTGTTTGGGTTCAATGGCTGTTACGGAACTACTCCAACAAACAAATCCACTTGTGGACTGCAACATGCTCAGATTATCTATCTAGGGGATCAGAACTCATTACTGTCGTTCCACACAGAATCACCGGTTAGGGGGCAACCCTCAAAGGTAGCTTCGGCTGCATTGGTTAATACAGATTTGATTGAACCTAAACAACTTCCAAAGATCAATCAATCAGGGGAACCAGACCTAGATTCGATACCTCCGATAGCACATTCTGCTCCTGTTCCCACTCTGCCAGTTCCCTTCGAGTCAGGTACCCCTGTGGATTTGTTTTCTGGTACTAACAAGGGTCCTATGCCTGCAATAGGTACTTCGGCCTCTCAGCCAGAAGGAATGGCCAATGGACGGAAGAGTGGGAATGTGGCCAAGGGTTGTGGAGAAGAGGAGGGGGAGTCTTTATCAAAAAGGAAGCAGGAAGAAGAATTAGAGAGAATATGGGAGCGGATTTGTGCTCTCTTGGAGGATTATAAAGAGAAAGAAGAGCAAATGGAGGTTACCCCTACAAAATTGGAACAGAAGGAGGGGAATAGAGAGAGCTTTAGAAGTGCTGGAGTAGATA